ATTTATGCGAACTATAGAATGTTTACCACAGATGCCACACAGTTGAGCAGGCGGACAAGCGGACATGTTTAGGTGCATTCCAAATTTCAAGTTGACCAAGAATTTATTAACATTATCGGGTTTTTGCAGCTTGTTTCTGCGCTTTATAAAGGCATTGAAAAAAAAAAAAATTATGCATTGATACACTATAACATTGGGTAGGCGTGGTCAATATTTCCCATTTTTGTGCAGATGGTATAGCATCAATCAATCAATACAATATATATGTATTTTGACATTGTCTTTAAGACTGCATAGTTTGCCAATAGTCGAATTCATTTCCTTTCTTCGACTTTCTATTCATTGGTGATAGCTTCATTGCAGTTATTGGGGTAAATAAAATTTACTTAATGACTATTAAATTCAACTAATTTCTGCTCTTTTTTTTTAAGGAGAATTTTTTGCTTAATAAAATAAAAATCAATTAATTGCATATTTTTAGGTGCTGTAATCATTCAAAAAAAATTAAAAAAAAATCAGTTAAGTACAAGAGATTATATTCCTTATCATCAAGTTAGTTATGTTCGCTCGTCCATCTATTTAAGTTGCGCTCGATTAGATTATAGTGACTTCTTAAAATTTAATCGGTTGGGAGAAAAGTTTACTTGTGACTAAAGAAAAAGCAACGATAGTGAAAATCAAATCATTTAGCAGAACTTTTTAAACCAATTACTGGCATTCAAAGGATAATCATGGTGTAAGCCTTCCCGCCAACAGCAGATTAAAGCAGCGCAATAGCGAAACAAATGGCCTGGTGACTCAACTATGTTCCGGATCTTGCCGGCGTCTGCAGACATTTGCAGAAAAAAGTACCGCGAAATGAGAGAATGGGAAGGGAGATGCGCGTTGGGTTTTGGCTAAAGGCGGGCACATTATTCTATTGCGTATTGGGTAACCATTGCTCTTGAATTCGGACTTATATAGAGTATTAGTTAGCACTTTTCCCTCTTAACACTCATTTATTATTAACGAACGTAACAAACAATCTTACAGTCTTCATTTTCTAGAAGACAGTTTAGGACTAGTATTATAAAAGGAAAATATTTTTCACAGAAGCGACAATGTCTAACCATGCGAGTTCATTTCATATATTATGGTGTTCCAAATAACGTCCCGATTACAGAGTCGCATTAAGCTAGCCAGAGTTCTTCGTTTATTAGCATTTCACTCGATGGCTTTGTGGCAACTTGATGATTACCAAGTCATATTCGTCCGCCTCTGAAAGTTAAGAAGTTTAAAGAATTTTAAAGCCATCGGATTGCTCAGCTGCTTTGTCCTCTAAAAACACCATTACAGTTGCAAAGCCTAAAACATTAATTTGTAATATGCGGATTTTTAATGGCCGCAAATTTCCAAATGATGCATCAATTTAAAAGCTTCCTAAAGAGATTACGGACAACAAGCACATCGATATCGATTTTGTACCCCGTTCAATCCAATAATAACGTAATTGGACTCTGCAGCTCTATATTTTCTCTTTTCTAAGATTCACGTGATTCGGATATCCAATCAGTAAAGTAAAACATCTTAACATATTGATTTCCATATAAATTTCAAGCTTAAAAAGATACCTATCCGTAATTGGCGTAAAGTGACCGCTGCATTACGTAAAATACGTTATGACTGGGAAAAACGCGAGCAGAAATGCTAGTAGCTGTCGAATATCAGAATCATATGAGAATACTAGACAAATACACTTACACAAATCCCAACTGATTTTCCCAGAAAAGAAATTTCCGAGAGAAGGAAAAAAAAACAAGTGCAAATTCATGGCGCATCATGCAACCGCCCGCCGACAAAAGAGATTAACGGAAAACACATCAATTATGTTAACTTGCTTATATAAGCAGAATATTTGAGCCGAATGAGTTAGACGGAAGAGAACATTTAAGTTGAAAAGAAAGTCTCAGTTAGGAATTTCGTCAAACTACGTGAACTGTAAATAATCCTATCCTTAAAGAAATTGATTGTAATTGTGAAAACTATGATGTAGTGATACGAACCGTGTTAAGACACTAGGTTGCGGCCACTCCGTCTCCCTTTATCTTTCCTGATTTCTTTCTTTATTTTTTCATTATACTGCATATATACCTATTTAGCTGATCAGGAGATTTAAGGCATAAATTATTTGCATGGCAAATTGCCTTTAGGAGACGACTCGTATAGCCAGCTGGGAAGAGATTCATAAGAAAATACTTTCACAGATTGAGATCATAGAAATTTCGCTCATTCTTTAACATACCATATCGAAGCAATTTGTAGAAGTCTTGCTGAGAGTCCAGGGACATTAAGAATTGATTATTTCGAAAAAATTTTCCATTCTCTAGCACTTCCAAGCTTGCAAAATTCATGTGACTTCAGAATTGAAGCTTATCGATCACGTGGAGTGCTTAGGATTTCTTAAAGGTCTTGAAGAACGAAATTGAGCGTCGTATCATAGGGAAAAAAGTACATAAGTGGCCGCAAATTTTTCCAGGCCATTTACTCAATATACTCAATTCATACTTAGAGCTCTGTATTATGCACTTCATGCCTCAATTAATTAATTGTTAAAAATGTATTTTTCCAAAAATAATTTTTGCTTTTGGATTTCGGGACACTCTATAGTTGCTTAGCTGTTTTTATAAGCGTGAGAAGGGCCCTTTTTGTAAACTTTTCCCACCTGTGTAATAAATAAATGAACGAAAATTACCAAGTAACCGCATTGATTAAAAATTTCAAAAGAAATTTTACGAATGTAGATTAAATTTCTAAAAACTTGAACTTAGTTAATGGTTGCAATAATCGCGGAATAACTATTAAGTAGTGAGAGTAATTTTGTTGCAATGAATACTTTCATTTCATACAATTCAGCAGTAACGTGTAACATGTATGTATATATGAACGCAAGTATATTAGGTGTACTCTGCCATAATGTGATTATTTAGGAACCTATTGCAATTATACTGCCGTTCATATGTATAGAGGTCATTAATTAAATAGTTTGTGATCAAAAAGGAAACAGTTGAGTCGGATGAAAGCGCATATATATATATATATATATATGTATAGTCACAAAATCAAAAAGTTGCCCAAAGAAAGTGAAAAATCACTAAAAAGAAGTCATTAATATAAATCTGCCAAAAAACGGATATGTCAACATGAATTACAGCCAGCCATACTCTGCGAATCGCTCAAATGGCTTCCTTTGATCGTTGATCGTAAACGTAGATTATTTCTTGCACCAGTATATCACAACTACATATATATATATATATATATGTGTCGTACGTATAGATACACACACACACATATATATATATATATATATATAATATATCTCCCCCATAAGAGACCATTTCGTTGTGGAATCATCAATCATTCAATGCCAGTGGACTAGTTTTCTTTGAATGCAGCCAATTGTGTACAATATAGAAAACAATTGTAATTGACTAGTTGTGAACATCGTATTCTCTAGTTGGTTTTCTCTTTATATTGAATTCAATTATTGTCATCACTTTTAACAAATGTAGTGAAAAACGTTTAAGCAACAACCAGGATGATTTTTTTTTTTTTTAGTTTTTTTTTCAAAAAGTGAAAAACTCTAAAAAAAAAAAAAAAAACAAAAACAAAAAATGTAAAAAGCAACAACAAATAAATAGCTATTTTGTTCGCGTTAGTTATATCGGCGATATTTTCCAAACTGTGGCTAAACTGTGCAATGTTGTTTTCTCATTTACTAAACAACATTTGTTGGCAACAAAAATACTTAGTGCATATGTTAACTGTAGGTGAAGCTTAGTAACAGACAACTTTGAATGGTTGCTGTTGATGTTAGTGTTGTAGTTGTTGCTACTGCTGTTGCTATTTCTGTTGCTGTTACTATTACTGTTGCTATTGCTATTTTTATTGCTATTGCTATTGCTATTGCTATTGCTATTGCTATTGCTTTCGCGGTATTGATATTGATATGGGCTTTGTCGTTATTGCAATAGTTGGATGGTGGCAGGCTAGCCTGGCAATCTAGTTATTTTGAGTAAAGTAGAGCAAAATAAATTTGTGAACACAAAACTGCACAAACAATTACAGTGAAAATTCGCTAAAGATAAATGAAAATACTGCGGCGATGAAGTAAAGCGTTCGAAAGGTATGCCTGTTATGCCTAGGTTTCGTCTTAAATATAATACATAAGCATAAACATAAACATAAACACACTAACAAATAAGGTGCATAAAGATGCATAGGAAGTAGTAACACTGGTATCTATCCATCTGATTATTGTAAAACGGCATAGTATCGCACATTCGTTCATACGCTATTTCTATTGGCTGGTTGGTACGATGCTTGCTCATCATCAGCATACGGCAAGAGCAAGATTTCTCCGCAATCGTTGGAGTGTAAATAAGCGATATTTTTTTGCTTTTTTCATACTTTTTTTTTTTTTTTTTCCTGTGAAAACAATCTTCAATGCCACCACACTTAGTGTTATAGCGCAGCAGTAGCAGCGGTAGTAGTAGTAGTAGTAGTAGTAGTAGTGGTAGTAGCAGTAGTAGTAGTAGTAGTAGTAATGTTAGTAGTAATAACAGTACTAGTGGTAGTATATGTATAACGTGATATAAAGTGAATTGAAGCGGGTCCCACAAACAACAAAACACCATAGCATTTATTGTTAACAATTAAAATGTAAAAAAAAAAAATAAAAAATCTCTTTTTTAATTATAACCAACAACAACAACAACAACAACAACAACAACAACAACATCCATTCATCTATCCACTCATTTATTTATTGCTCCAAATGGAATTATGTGCCTTCACTTTCAAATAGTGAAAGAAAAATTAACCGCGGATATCATTTATTTATCATTTATTTATAAAATATTTCAACACTTTGTTACTTTTATGCTTCTTCTTTACACTAATTTTAATAAGATTTTTGTTATTTTTTCTACGCTTCTCATGGAAACGCATCTAACGCTTACCTGTGCTTATGTCTTATTCCGTACTTTACATATATATGTATATTTATATACAAATATATAGATATATATACATATATATCTACATATATATATATATATATATCTATATATATATATATATATATATATATATATATATGAATGTATATATATATATATTTATATATATATTTATATATATGTTTACATATATCTATATATATATATCTATATATATATATATAGTCCTTGCAATTGTATTACTTTTTGCTGGATTTTATTAACAATCCTTAGCTTTTCTTTTAATGGCACGCGTTCTGATTTTTATTTTATTTTTGGTTTTTTTTATTGAGGATATATTTCACCGATAAATGGATGTAATGTACATATGTAATGTAATGTAAGTTAATTAGTTTTATTATATTGTAAATTTAAGTAATATGAATATGTTTAATATTTGGTTTTCGCCTTTTACACTTCGTTCGTTCGTTCAATAACCGTTCGCTTATGAAAATTTCAAAATTTTGTTCATTTGTTCACAAGTGTGATATCCGCTTTAGACAGGATTTGTTCTTAGATATGATTCGTTATTGTTATTAAAGTGGTTTTTTTTTCTTTTCTTTTCTTTTCTTCTTTTTTTTTTTTTTTTTTTTTTTTTTTTTTGTGAAAACTGCTAGCACGCTATGCCGCTGAAGCACCTCTCTTCGGACGCACAGTTAATTTGGAAATGCGGCTTTGCCAATTCAATATCATGATTTTATATCGCGTGAAAGTTGTGACCTCTTTCTCTGCTCATATTGCCGTCATATCAAGCGTTAGACTTTCTTGCTCTCAGTTGGTACTCTTTGTGAGTCATTCAGTGCACAACATATTCACGGATATGCTTCGAATTAAATATAAGTCAGGCGAAGATCGGCTCTTTAAACATTATGTTTATGTAAAAAGCGAAAAACTCTTTTTCAGTGAGCGAGAGAGAGAGAGAGAGAGAGAGAGAGAGCAAAAGAGAGAAAGAGCGAGAGAGAGCAGGAGATAAAATTTTCTTCTCAAAACTTCAGTCTCATTTCCGAGAGATGAGTAAATAAAAGATATTTTGTAATTTTGTAGTTTTTTTGTTTTTTTTTTTATTTTATTTCTTATTTTTTTACTTAAAAATTAACATGCGTTGGATTAAACCTTACAATTGGTACCGTTCTGGTTTCCTCAACGATAGTAAGAGTGAGATTATTAACTTTTTCCACAAAGCCACACACAGTCACACATTGCTTAGCTAGCAAGACGAACGAATACATTCATATATATTTACTAGCAAATGCCTGAGTGTTGTTGGTAGTGTCGTTATACGTTAGCTGCTGTTATAATTTCAATACCTGTTCCCTCGGCATTCACTAGTGCTTGCTTTAAATAATAAATGGTGATCATGATGATGGCTTTAATGATCGGTAACATGTCATTTTTACCGTTGATTGTTGTTGGCTGACTAAGCGCAACAATACTTAACGTGAAAGATTTAAATTTTCATATCATAATGATATTCATTCATTCATTCATTCATTCATTCAGTATATCCTACAACATATTTGTGACAAAACATGTATTATTCTGTAGGGGATAATGATAAGTCTTCATTTTATCTCGCTACTTATATGTTCAACATATTTCGATGCAATTTACTACATCGACTAGTGTTCAATCAGAGTTGAATGCTATTGAAAATCGATTACAACATATCATCTTTATGATCATTTCCAATATAAAAACTTATTCATAAAAGGACCTCATATATGAAAAAAAATTTCGATTTTTAATCATTTCTCAACAAAAATCGATGCAACATTCACAATCATGAATTTGGAACACTAAATGAATGCGGAATATTTAGATGAGATGAGATTAATTTTGGACCATTCTTCTCTCACTAGATATCAGCGTTTGTATGAGAACAAAGTCTAATATTCAAAAATTTTACGATAAAAATTGATCCAAATTAGTATTTTCACGTGTAAGTTTATCGTGCCAAGTTTGAACTACATCTGATCTATTTTCGGATATCTTCCCGCTATAAGAATTCTTAGAAGAAAGTCCGTCGAGTTAAGAGAGGAATGTATTAGACGACCAGTTATGAAGCATTTAATCGTTGGTGATGCCTGACTCTAAAATTTGAACTCGTTTACTCCGGCCCTTGTGATTACCAAAAATTTACTTAGTTAATTAGTTTTTTTCAATCTTTTTTTCTATAGCATTCTCGAAATGGCTACAGATGCGGCTGGTGAAACTGATCGCTTGACTTAATTCTTCATGTAAAATTGTAAAAAATTTTAATCGAAGATACTCGTATCAGGCAAAAAAAGGAAAGAAAATTATAATATATATGTTTTATCTTGTTTACGATCAAGAATATATTATATATAAAATTCTGAAACGATCGTACAAGTATCTGTCTATCTAAAGAAATGTTCAAAGATTGCAAATGCAATTCTTATAGAGGACACGCCCATAATGTAGAAAATAAAACGAGAAAACGGTTTAGCAGAACTGACTTGATTAATGGGCCCTAACTTGTAATACCTGTCGATCGCTGTCATTGAAAAGTTTGATGTTTAACAGAAATCTCTTAATCGATTAGCTCAGTCTACTCAGCTAAATGGAAAAGAAAAATAATTCAAGTTAATAGAGAATGAAAATAAATAAAGTAATAGAGAATAGAATCTTGATTATGCTCTATGAACAATAACAGGCGTCTGTCCTCTGCAATGTCACGAACTTTTTAAAATAGCAATCGATATATTTTCAAGTAATGTCACAATTCAGCTACAAAGATTTCTTGTAATCTTCCTCCTCATATTATCTCCATGAAGGAAAATATGCTTTAAATATGCTCGGGTCGCATGAGTGGCCGAGTAGGCAAAACTCTCGACTACCAACTTAGGGGTCGTGGGTTCACATCTCAAGTGCGGTTGAGTTTTCTAATAAAAGCCGAAAGCCTTAGATGCTAGCGCTTTAAGACTTTAGTCTTAGAATTTATTCTCTGGCTAAATTAATAATAATAATAATAATAATAATAGTAATAAATTTGCTCTATTAAATAATTATTTTAGGTCAGATGTGTTTTTAAAAGGTGAAAAATTCTGAAAAGGTTTAACTGACATGTCCGCGATGGGATAATCAATTTAAAGAGACAACGTTTACTGCTGGAGATCCGATATTCGCTGCAAGCCAAAGACAAGTCTTCTCAATCGTACGTCAGCTTGTTGTCTGTAATACGTTAATGAAGGTCTTTTCGGCCATCATTTCATTTGTATTACATACACATACACATACACATACACATACACATACACATTTTTCCAATTTACGGTTTACACAATACTTAGTTGCGAAAGAATTACAAATTTTTTTTTTTTTTTTTAAATTTCTTTTTAGTTGTGTCAAGGCAATTTATGACGTATGACGTGTGACGATGTTTGTATTATCATTTGCTTTATATTAAGCTTACACAGGCGCACATAGGCAAGCACACAAAGTTTTTCTTTTACATAATTAGTCATCATCGTCTTTCATGTATAAGTGTTGCTATATTCAATAGAGATCTTCTATGCGTTGTATGTTGTAAGCTCTTTATTTATGTAAACAAAACATATATTTTTATAAAAGCTGGCAATAGCAGGCTAACTGAAGGTAAAATTTTTAATTTTATTTAAATAACCAAAACTTAAGGTCATTTATATTAAAAAATTTTTAAGATAATTTTTTTTTGTTTATTGAAATTATGCAAAACCGGTTACCCTCGATATTCGATGTTATTTATTTAGTCTCTTTTTCTTCTTCTTCTTCTTCTTTATTTTTTCATACACACACTATCATCTGTTTAAAAATACTCTCTAATCACATTGATTTGAGATAATTTACAAATAAAGTTCGCATTGTAGTCAAATTCGAAATACGAGCAAGCAATTTAATAACGCGAATTACCTTAAAATCCTGCTTACAAGAAGTGAATTAAAATGTTTACACTTTCGCAACTTTACACCACCCATCGATGGAATGAAATGTAAAATGTGGATTATGGAGTCAATTGCTGATTATCATCGCTTTAAAATTGACAAACAAAAACCAAAGAAAAAAATTTTGTATGAAATTGACGATACGTTCATCTTAGACGGCACTGAAAACCTGCGTCTTATGTAAAGCAAAAGTTTTCAGTTACCGATGAATGAAATGAAACAAAATCAAACTCTCCAAGTGATAAGATATTGTTAATAACTTTGTTCTTTTCATCGGGGATTTTCACTTGGGTCTTCCACAGACCAGTATATCAATGACCCTAGAAAATGTAATTCCCTTAATCACGGGATTTCATTGTGAGTTAGTTGCCCATAATCATGCCAATCTGTTCATTCATCTATCATCGCAAAGAGTAGAGAGGAAATGAAAACTCGAATTGTAACTTACACAATCTGTGGGAGCTATTAATCTAAGATCCATTATGAATATATCTAAAAGCCGAATGGAAGACCAGTAAGGGTAAATATCGTCGCAATCGTTCGACTGACAAGTCCGCGTATAATAAAAAGGTTTGCAATTTTTATGCATCGAACCCAATTGATCGATTGATTCGTATTCATGTTCTTGTACCAACGGCTTACGGCGGGAATGGCAAATTCGTGTTCGGAGGGCTATTTAACGATATTAAAGGAAAAGATAAAATAAAGTGCGAACAAATATTCAACTTCTACCAAGATAACGACCTTAAGCATAAGTCCCGCTTAAGTCAAGCAGGGCTCTTATATAATTGCCCGAAAGTGCTTCAACCACTTCCCCGAACGCCCATCAGGCGTGAACTCCATCAAAATGATGTGAATTGAATTGGATCACCATGTGCGAAGACACTCAATTCCTTTCGTCCGCGACCTGAACCGCAGACTATATAGGAGGAATGGAGTCAGATGCCTGTGTTTATGTTTGGACAATGGAGTAGATTTAACAAGCGTTTAGTTTTTGTCGAGCGAAAAAACCCAATATTAACGGGGCTCACGTAATCAAATTTTACGGCCCTGAATAACGGTGGTGTAGTGGTGCACAGACGCTCTCACCTTGACTTATGCAAATGAT